TGAATGAAGAATTCGAAGAGACTTTTAATTAAGACACGCACACACACGCAATCCTTGGAGTTAGTTTTATATATTTGAAGGGAGAAGAAGGAAATAACGAAGAATGATATTTTTTTTATGGAAATTCTACGGGTTGTATTATCGAGTGGAAGAGCAACGGATATCGATAAAACGTGATAATTTTTGTGTATATTATATTTTTTTTTTGAAGATAAGCGAAATTTCGTCTTCAACTTCATTAAGCACGAAATACAGAAAGGTGGTAACTTTGAATATATCGAGTGAATTTGATTTTATTACTATTGTATATTATTACTTGAATTATTACGATTAAAATTAAATTTCGAAAATCGAATCTTTTTATTTATTCAATTCGAATTTGATATTGTTATTATTGTATCGTTTAAAGGAAATTTTTACATTTCGAGGAAAATACAAAAAAGGTTTGTATGTAAAGATGATAACTTTGAATATCCCATATTATTGTATATCATTTAAATTTAGGTTAAAAATTCATCGGAATTGAAAATTAAATATCGATATCGTCGAATCAAATGGCAAATTTTCACATTTTAAAGAAATATAAAAAGAAATTTTTTAAGGAAAAATAACTTTGAATTAAAATTATCACGATTGAAAATTAAATTTCATAAATCGAATCCAAGAAGTATCGAACAATAAAATAAAAAAGCGAATTTCATGGATAAATATCCAGCACACGAGATACAAAAAGTTTCGAACAAGAATTCGATACGACGTGCCATCGTATCCCCGTTTAAATCGAATCAAAATATCCCCCTACAATATCCTACATACGTCTCTCCTTAAAAAATTAAAAATGTCGAGAATAAAAAAAAAAAGGAAGCAAAATTTTCTCAAAATGGAAAAATCGTTCGCACGATTCTCGACGCGTGACGCCGTTCCTCGAGGATGAGCGTATTTCACCGACTGCTATCTGGGCGCCGGTGCACACCCAAATATGCTTAAAGAGTGGAAAAGATGGCGGGCAGGCAACATGCCAATCTTGCTCGATGCTTTTTATTGCCGCGATAAGCGGCTGTCCTGTCTGCCTCTCACCTCCCCACTCACACCTCCCTCTCTCCCTCCCCTCCCCCCCGCCCACTCTTCCCACGCGACGAGGGAAAATAGCAGGCAATGCCACGAGCGTAATCTTTACTTCTCTACTTTTCACCTCCTTAATGGACGTGAGACTCTCCCCCTCCTCCCCCTCCTCCCGTGAACACGTATTTCTCGACGATCGAGAGTTCGACACCGACCGCTTTTCTTCGTGGCGAGGAAAACTCGTGGTGAGATAAACTGTTGGCCGTTCGCTGTTCGGATCGAGGCAAGGAGGGGGATGATTTAATTCTTTTTAATTTAATATCTTGGTGCGATGGAATTGTGACGTGAAAAGAATGGTGGAACAGGAATCGAAGAATTTTTGAACGTGAAAAATTCGATATTACATTTTATGGCAATATAAAATAAGAAAAATGTGTTATATTTTATATATAATATATATGTATAAAATATTGTTTGCACGCGAATGGAAATTCGATGGATCGGCTCCCACGTTAAAGCCTTCCTATAATGAGCCAATCAGGACGTTTAGCGATTAAGTTCGCGCCGCAAAACTTAGCTTGGAGAACCTCGACAGTTTCTTCGAAACTTTGGCAAACTTTGATCCATCCCGCCCCCTATATTATAAATCCTCTCACCACAAGTTTTTAACTTTCTTCCTTCTTCAGATAAGGTAATCAAGCTTGCCTGTCATTTAACCAAAGCAGTATTAGAATGTACCTGTACTTCGTATCGGTACTTTCGCAACAACCTCAAATTTATTCTCAACGTAAAGAGATTGTATCTTTACTTTAATCACGCTGCGCTCTTGCTCTACGCGTGCATTAAAACTCGGTCGCGCCTACGCTTAGGCAACCAGTCCGACTCCTGTGCTCCGAGCGAACGCGCACGCGAACGGCGCATCGAATTTTATCATCACGAGTTAATTTTGTTTTTTAACGATAATTAATTCGATAATTATTCGAATCTTTCTTTCTAAATATCCCGAGGATTAAAGCTGGAATGGAAACTTTAATGCATAGATATCCATTAAAGATAGTTTCTTTTTTTTTTACCCCCCGAACAATTAATTAATTTTTATCGATCATCGATAAAGAAAACGCGTCATCGGTGCGAAATTAACCTAACCAATGCAAAAGTCGAGGGAATAACCCAAGCATTTCCTCTTAATTACCACCGATAAGACACTTCATTATTCCTTGTTCTTCTTCGATTCTCTTCTCTCCAATCAATCAAACCGACTTATTTTTTCTCGGAACTCGAATCTACGTATTACAGAACTTGGAATAACAGAAATAGCAAATTATATCATGCGCGTATCTCTACGGTTTATTGATAATCATGTTTGTCCACGTTTAAACATCATATTCCCTCTCCCCACTAATATCCATCTCTATCGGTAAATAGTACGAATACCATACGAAACTTCATTTTTCAAATCTCCATTCAATCCTCGAACGAGGAGAATGATTATCCGTAACGAAAAATTGAACTCGATACATTTCAAAGAAGAAAAGAAGAGAGAGAGAGAGAGAGAGAGAGAGAGAGAGAAGAAGAAAGAAAGAAAGTAGAACGCATCCG